ATACAATGTACCATTGTTTCATTGGGATCAATTTTGGTTTCACTTTACTGTCTCAATGGTTTGTCTAGTTCTGGGTGGGTACCGTACTGTGATTATGATGGCTTTTGAGTATATTTATATATCTGGTAAGTCAGAGTCCTCTTTACTAGTCTTCTTGTTCATGATCTTGGCTACTCTCATTTATTCTTTCATTTGAACACAAATCATTTCTTCCATTTTCAAAAAACTCCCTCTTGGGATTGGACATGAATTGCTCTCTGAATTGTGACATTGTATAATACTAAGTTATATGAATTCTTTCTTTCTAACCTCATGGTACATCTTTCAGATGGCTTTTGTCTCCTTTCTTGGCCTTCCTATAACTCCTTTGGCTTTTGTATATAAAATTTATTTCTATGAATTGTATAGTTTTTGACATTACTACGAATGGTATTTCCCCCCATTTTCATTTACAGCTGATTTTGCATCAAATGCAGAAAAGCTGCTGGTTTTTGTATGCAGCCATGTGCCTTAGGAAAGATAGGAGATAAAAATATATAGATATAACCCTGGCTGGTGTGGCTCAGTTAGTTGGAGTGTCGTCTGGTGCACCAAAAGTTTGCAGGTTTGATTCCTGGTCAGAGCAGGAATCAGGGTGTGTACGGAAGGCAATGGATCAATGTCTCTCTCACATTAATCTCTCTCTCTCTCTCCCCTCCCCCTTCCTCTCAAAGTCAATGAACATATCCTTGGGTGAGGATTAAAAATATATGTATATATAGCCATGGCCAGTGTTGCTCAGTGGTTAGAGTGTCAACCTGCGTACCAGAGGGTCGTGGGTTCGATTTCTGGTCAAGGGCACATACCTGGCTTGCAGGTTCAATCCCTGTTCAAGAGGCAATGAATCAATGTATCTCTCTCACATTGATGTTTCTATCTCTTTCCTTCCCCTTGTCTTCCTTCCCTTCCACTTTCTCTAAAAATCAATGAAAAAACATCCTTGGATGAGAATTAACAAAAAACAAAACAAAAAATACACACACACACACACACACACACACACACACACACATACAGGCTGTCCCCCCAAAATGTATACACACTTTAACAGATGACAGCTCAAATTTGAAAATGAAACATATTTTAATAAACACTGCCTTTATAATTATTCAAAGTGTGTGTATACATTTTTTGGGACACCCTATATATACAGATTTATGTAAATATATAAATTACATGTTAAAATTTAAATATTAATACATTAATAATATATTTAAACATAGAATATATGAATATATATTTATATAGATATATGTTTTGGGGTTTTTAAAATTCTCATCCAAGGACATGGTCATTGATTTTTAGAGAAAGAGGAAGGGAGAGAGAGAGAGAGAGAAACATCGATCAGTTGCCTCCCGAAAACACCCCAACCAAGGCCAGGGACTGGGGCTGAGGATGGAACCCCCGACCTAGGTGCGTGCCCTGACCGGGAACCAAACCCCAAACCTTTCTGTGTCTGGGACAATGCTCCAACCAATAAGCCACACTGGCCAGGGCAAGATATATGCTTATAAAAAGTTAGAATGTCTTGTGTCTTCTAGGTAGACAATCCCTGCACCTGCTAGCTCTCCTTTTAAAATATTTACACTGTGTAAATGCACCACAGCTTTTTTATCCACTAATCTATTGATGGGCACTTGGGCTGTTTCCAGATCTTAACTGTTGTAAATAACAGTAAAGGCCTGGGGTGGACCCGGAACTGTGTGGAGGGGGACAAGTGGAGGAAAATGGGGGACATCTGTAATACTGTCAACAATAAATAAAAAATAAATAAATAAAAGTATTTACATTGATTATTCAAGTCCTTGTCATCTTGCTTTTCTGTAACCACCAAAAATAATACCTGCAGCGGCTGCGGCCAACTGTGCATCTTGTTCCTTCCTTTAATGAAAATGACTTTAGGATTTCACCATTTAAAGTGGCATTTGTTGTGGTTTTGTGGTTAGCCTTACCATCATTAGATACTATTCTATCTGTTTCTATATGTTTTTATTAGAAATAGCTATTGCATTTGACAAAACACCTTTTGGCCATTTTTTGAAAAATCATAGGCTGCCTTTTTTTTTTCCAAATCCTCACCTGAGGATATTTTTTCCATTGCTTTTCAGAGAGAGTGGAAGGGAGAGAGAGAGAAACACCAATGTGAGAGAGACACATGGATTGGTTGCCCCCCGCATGAGCCCTGACTGGGGCCAGGGATCGAACCTGCAACCAAGGTACGTGCCCTTGGCCAGAATCAAACCCAGGACCCTTCAGTCCACAAGCCAATGCTCTAACCATTGTTTCAAACCAGCCAGAGCAAGGCTGCCTTTTAAATTTCTAGATATAATGAATTACCTTGGGGATTTATAGATACTGAGCCATTCTTACATCTTTGCAATAAATCCTACTTGGCTATAGTATTCTTTTGATAACTGGTCACATTTCTTTAGAATATTTGTATCTTATCCATGAGTTTTCATTTTCACAATCCACACAAACTCATGTGACTATCCCTAAGGCCTCCTCATGGCCCCTCCCAGCCATCCTTATTTTAACTTTTTTTTTTTTTTTTTTGAGAGAAAACACCACCACCAATTTGTTGATCCACTTACTTACGCATTCATTGGTTGCTTCTTGTATGTGCCTGACCAGGGGATAGAACCCGCAACCTTGGCGTATCAGGATGACACTAACCAACTGAGCTACCTGGCCAGAGCTATACTGGCCTCCTTTTTTTTTTTTTTTAAATATATATATATATATAGCTTTATTGATTTCAGAGAGGATGGGAGAGGGAGAGAGAGAGAAACATCAGTGATGAGTCATCATTGATCGGCTGCCTTCTGCAGACCCCCAACTGGGGATCAAGGCCACAAAATGGGCATGCTCCCTGACCGGGAATTGAACCGTGATCTCCTGGATCCTAGGTCAATGCTCAACCACTGAGCCACGCTGGCTGTGCTGATTTCTAATTGCAGAGCTTAACTTCTTCTGTTTCCTTTTAATTTCCTATAGTTGGAATAACCAGTTTGTCTTTCTTTTTCTTTCACTCAAAATAATATGTGTGAGATATATGTATATTGCTGAGCTCATTCTCCTAGCTGCGTTAAATGAGATACAATGATATACAAATAAGTCAATGTTTCTATTGCTATCTATTTATATTGATATATTGATTAATATGCAGTTGATTTATTCATTTTTCTGTTGATGGGCATTTGGATGGTTTCCGGTTTGGGGTGAGTATAAACAGTTAGACCGCCTGAGTATATTTGTCAGCCTGGATTGAGTTGACTTCAAGATACTGACAATTTCCCCAAGTGGTCCATATTTTTAATTTTAGCCATTCTTGTGGATCTGGATACTATTCCTAATGGCTGGATAGCATATCACTGTACAAGTGTTCTGTTGATGAATTTAAGCAACCTCTTGTTGATAAGCATTTGGATTGTTTTCCATTTTTACTCTTCTAAATAATGCAGTAATGAACATTCTGGAACACCCTTCTTTATACACTTTTAACTGACCCCTAGCAATCACCTTTTTGGTTATTTCCAGTTACTTTGTTTTTACATACAGAATAACACTGAAGTAAGCTATCTTGTACATTCATCTTTGTGGACTTAAAAGTTTTTAGTTTTCTTGAGATTTAAATTTAAATTTTTTTTTTTTTTTTGCTTTTAACATCTCTTCTCATGTTGGTCTTGAGCACAGAGCCAGCCCAGGGCAGTGTTGTTGGCCGTTACATTGGATGAAGGGCTGAAGGCTGCTTACTCTTGCAAGCTGGCTTCTGAGATTGCACCTTCTCTTCCTGGTCTTCCTCCAACTCTATGACCCTCCAAGGTATGAAGATGTCTGGGTGAGGGTCTGGCTGGTCCAACCAGAAGGGGGGTAATTCAGCCAAACATAGGCTCCAGGTTATGCATCAGGGTTGCTTGACAGCATCCCACCAAGGTACTTCTGAAAACCACAGTCATTTACTCGTTCTTCCTTCTGCCCATCCTTCCATCTGCCATTGACCTATCCATCATCTGTCAGTTATCCACCATCCATTCACTGACCCATTCATCAGTCCACCAATAGTCTCTTCATCAATGCCTTCAGCTCTCTCCATTTGCACACTCATTTATCTACTTAGATTTCATCTACCCACCCACCCATCCATGCATCTATCTTTCCATCCATTCCTCAGTCCCTGTCCCTACCCATCTATCTATCCACCCATCCATTTACCCACTCACTTATCCATCTACCCACCCATTTACCCAATCATCCATCCATCCATCCATCCATCCATCCATCCATCCATCCATCCATCCATCCATCCACTCATTCCTCCAACTACCTACTCACCTATCCATCTACCCATCCATTCATGTGTCTATTTTTTTATGTATTGATCTGTTCATAAATTCATCAACTTCACTTACTCATCTTTTCTTTCACCCAACCCTTAATCCATCCCTCCAGCTGATCTACCATTCATTCACCTACTGATTTACCTATTCAGTATCAAGTCATGCATTCATCTATCCATTCAACTTTCAACCCACTCACCCACTTATTTATTAGTCAAGTTAGTCACTCACCCAATACCCACCCATTGACATCCTAAAACCGGACCCTATGACAGAGATGGGGACACAGAAATGACTCAGACCTGTTTCTTGCCCTCTAGGAATTGATAGCCAATTGGGAGAGGCAAATAACAATAACACACACACACAAACAGGAAATTCCAAAAACAGTGTGATCAGTGCTATACTCACAGTATGTTCCAGATATAGGTGGCCAGGAGGCCAGGATAGAGAGGGCCTGCAATGGACAGGAGGAAGATTGCAAGGTGCCAGGAACAAGATCTAGGTCCTGGGGCAAGTGTTCACTCCGGCCAGGACCCCTCTTGTCTGCACGACTCCACTCTCTGACTACCTCCCTGCCACACCCCACAGGCAGAGTTGATCCACCTACGAACCAAGACAATGCAACAAGCAACACAGTTAGAGTTGTCACCTAGTGGACAGAGCTCCTACCGTCCCAAGCCCATCCCCAATCTCCAAGACAAAGCGGGGACACTTGCATGCAGGGAGACCCTCCGGCAAAAGCTGGTCACGGACAAATCGGTGCCTCGCCATGTTCCACGCCTCCGGGCTGTGGTAGGGAGCCAGGCCTTCAAGAACATCCTGGTGGATGAGATGGACATGATGCTGTCTCGTGCGGCCACCCTCATCCAAGCCAGCTGGAGAGGCTACCGGCTCCGGCAGAAGCTGACCTCCCAGGTATTGGCAGCTAAAGGCATCCAGGAGGCCTGGCGACGCTTCAGTACCAGGCGCCTCCTCCGGTCTGGCAAAGCAGTAGAGAAGAAATCGAGTGTGGATGAGGGGGACATCCCTTACCACCCCCCTCAGCAGGTGCGGTTCCAGCATTCAAAAGAGGGCGGGTATCTTCTGGCCCCACCTGTCATGGTGAATAAGGAGACCCAGTTCCCTTCTGCTGACAGCCTGGCTACCTGTGCCCTGCTGCAGCCCCCAGGCATTCCACAGCCCGACATGCAGGCTCCTTGTGCCACTGGGGGCTCCAGCATCACTTTCCTGCCACACCAGACTGTTTCCATCAGACTTCCATCTCCAGTGAGTCTAAATGCAAAGTGCCACCCATGCCTGCTAACAAGAACCATCAGAAGTGCCAGCTTTGTCCACATAGAAGGGGACATGATGAAGACCAAACAAGTGACTGCCAGAGCCAACAAGGCAGAAGCCCCAGGGCCCCTCAAGACCCAGACTCAGGCCCGTGTGGAAGCAGACGTCCTCAAAGTCCCATCCCAGACAGGCCAAGCACCTGTGATGACCAAGAGCCCACTTCAGCCTTGCCTGGTGCCCACCATAGCAATGACTAAGACCCCACCCCAGAGGTACCCGGCAGCTGCAATGACCAAGACCCCACTCCAGTCATGCTTGGCATCCATAATGAACAAAACCCTACCCCAGCCATGCCCAGCACCCATGGCAGTAACAGCCAAGACCCCATCTCAGCTGGACCCAACAGCTCCAGTGGCCAAGACCACATTCCAGTCATCCCTGGCAACAATCTTAAACAAGATCCCAACTCAGCCATGCCCAGTACCTGAAACAATAACAAAGACCCCACCCCAGCCATGCCCAACCACCCCAATGACCAAGACCCAAGCTCAGATGCGACCAATAGCCTCAGTGACCAACACTGCACCCCAGACACGAACGGCTGCCATGACCTCGATTATCAAGCCCCCGCCCCAGACATGCCAGGTGCCTGTGATGGCCAAGACCCTGCCCCAGATGCGCCCAGCAGCAGCCCCGATGGCCAGGACCCCACTGCAGACATGTCCAGTGGCTACGATGGCCAAGACCCCATCTCAGACTCTCCCAGGGGCCTCAATGACCAAGACCCCTACCCAGACGCGTCTGGCAGCCATGATCACCAAGACCCCAGCCCAGTTACGCTCAGTGGCCACGCTCCTCAGGAACCTCTGCCTGCCTCCTCCTGCAGATGGAAACCTGAAGGCTTCACCGCCAGCAGTCGTGACAGCTGGGATTCCCAATACCTCATCACATACAAATCTAAACAGACCAAAGGCAAAGGCTATGGTGACAGAGAGGCAGATGGCAGGCATGGCCAAAGTCTCGTCTCATACACACTTGACTGAGGGAAAGGTGAAATATTGCCCTCCGCCACATCTGGGGGCTGGGGCTCCCAAGGCTCCAGCTAGGCCTTTTTTGGAAGCCGAGAAAATCAAGGACTTCTCCCAGAAACAGGTGAAAACGGAAACCACGTCTAACACCAGTGTGGCCAAGGACAAAGACTTCTCCCAGAAACAGGTGAAAATAGCAACCATGTCTAACACCAATGTGGCCAAGGACAGGAGCAAGATCTTATCGCAGGCACACCTAATGACAGATGCCATGAACGTTCAGTCCCAGGTGTATATGCCTGTAGAAACCGCTGTGGTTCTGCCCCAGGCACAGCTGAGCACCTGTCCAGCCACGGCCCTGCCCCAGGCACAGATGGCCACCTGTTCAACCACAACCTCACCCCAGAGACCTCTGCTAACAGAGCAGACTACAGCCCTGCCCCAGGCAAATCTGGGCCCATGTCTGTCCAAACCCCCACCCGAGGCACATCCACCTGCCAAACTAACCAAGGCCCCATCCCTGGCCCATTTAGGCACCTGTCTGACCAAGACACAGTCCCAGGCACATCTGACCACAGGAGTGATAAAGGTCCAGCCTCAAGCAAATCTGCCTACCGGCCTGACCAAGGCACAGTCGCAAGCCCAGCTGGTCACAGAAACAGCCAAGTGCCTCTCTGCTGCCCACCAGGCCGCTGAGCTCAGTAGCAAGACTCAGTCCCAGCCACTGCTGGCTGGGCTCAAGGCCTCCACCCAACCCTGCCAACATGTCAGCTCTCTTGGGACTTTGTCCCAAGCCAAGACAGAGGACAGACTGACCCAGCTCCCAGCCCACAGCCATGCCCAGGGCGAAGCTACCCAGGGCCCATGCCAGGGGGCCTCCAAGAGCATGCTGGTGCCTCTGCTGGCATCCACTGGACATCCCACATGTAACATCAAATCCTGGGGTAACAGCGGGGCCACCCTGGCCCAGCCATCGACCACCAGCCCAGCCGTGCCCTGTCAGGAGGAGCTGGGAGCCTCTCAGCTTGCCTCACTGTGTGCTGAGCTGGCTGCTGGCCTGGGCTCCCAAGAGGACATCCGTGCTCTGCTGGCAAAAGCTGTCTCCCAGGGGGAAGTGAGGGCGGCACTGAACCAGGCCCTGTCCAAGGAGGTCCTGGTCACCAAGATGGCCAAAGCCCTGCCCAAGAGCATGCTAGGCACAGCACTGGTGAAGGCACTGTCCTGGGGCGAGCTGGCCACTGCACTGTCCTGTGCCCTTTCCCGGGGTGAGCTGCGGGCAGAACTCACAAAGGCCATGCAAGGCAAACTGGTGGATGTGCTCAGCAAGGCCCTGACGGAGGAGGAGCGGGCTGCCCTGAGCCAGACCCTGTGCCAGGGTGAGCTGGGCTCCGTCCTGAGCCAGTCCTTATCTCAGGCAGCCCTCCGGACTGGACTTGTCCTCCCTAAGGCCACCTCGAAAAAACTGGGAAATGGGATGATAGTGAAGCCGGCCCCAGTGGAGGTGGACTACAGGGAGAGCCCGTCAGCCACGTGGGGGCCCACTCTGGGCCGTGTGAGACCACAAGCCAGCAAGGTCAGGGTCCCCCAGGGCAGGGCCTGAGCGGGCTTTGTCACAGACTGGCCAGCTGGGCTGTTGATGGAGATGAGGGATGGGGCCATGGTCAGGAGGTCACCCTGCTTGTCAGTGGTCTTGGTGGGTGCCTCCTTGGTTGGTAGGGTGATCACCACCATTCTTCAGTTTCCCCTGATCATTGTTTCGGACCCCACTGTGTCATGGGAGATGTAACCCCCCAGGAATTCCTTGCACCCAGAGGTGGGTGAATTGGCATCAGATTTCAACCCAGGGTGAGTGATGCAGGCCCCAATTTGCCTGAGCCGTTTCCCTTGCAGCCACCCCACCATCTGTGGCAGCTACTCATTGCCAGTGGCATGGCCCCAAGCTCTCACAAGCCACACGTATCCAGCTGGCTGGCCCCACGTCTATGGGCATCATTGGGGGAGGGCAAGGTGGCCCCAGGCAAGCTTGCCAGCACTGTGGGTGGTAGGAAGGCCATCCATTCCCACCAGTGTGCCCCTGCCTATGGCGGGGTCTGCTTGTTGGTGTCAGCCCTCCAGGGTCACCAGGAGAACCCCTGGGGTGCATCTGCCATCAGTGGCCAGAAGTCTGCAATAGCCATTCATGATCCCTGAGGAGACCATGCAGAGGACTCAGTCCCCAAATCACACACAGGTCTCTGTGGGCCCTAGTGAGATGATCAACAAGGTGGCCTCAGGTCTACAGAGGGCCACCACAGTGAGCAAAGTGCCTCTAACCCAAAGTGCCCCTAACCCTAACCTCAAGGCCTGTGACAGAACCCCAGGTGCCCTGCCTGGCTCCATAGCTCCTGGTCATCTCTGGGCATTCAGGAGTCAGCGAGACCCCAGTCTGCTCCCCAGGAGGTCAGTTAATGCCCACCCTTCCCCATACAGCCATCCCTGGGCAGGACAAGAATCGATCAGGGTGTCATTTCTGACATGTGCTTCCCACAGGAGCTGATGACTGGCAATATATTCAGTGAACTGGTGGCCTGTTTGCCACAGGGTTCAGACAGTGACGTAGCCAGAAGCTTCTCCAAGTTCTCCACAGACATGGCTTAAAGACAAGCAATTCCCAGAGCTTATTGTGCTGCTGTAGCTCACTCTGCCTTTCCACCCTGTTGTCGACTTGGTGGAGGAGTCTGGGAGGCCAGCTCAGATGGGGACTTATTCTCTGGGGAGGCCATGGGGAGGTCCCAGAGGTCTAGGGACATGGAGGAGATGGATAGAGTGGGCCATGGGCACATGGCTCCAAACCTCAACCCCCCGCCCTCCCCAGCCTCAGAGCTGACCCCCATTCTGCACCACAGCTCAGTGTCCAGTCAGGTGACCTTGAGTGCCCACTGGGGCTCAGGTGGTCAGGATGAGAGGGATATGTCCTCAAGCCAAAACTCTATGGGTCCAAAAGATAACGTGCCAGAAACCCTACAGGACAGGACTGAAGAGAAATTTGTCTTTAGGTAATGTGGCTCATATCAGCAGCCATCTTTGACCAGTAAGTTGATCCTAAACCTGTCCCAGCCATCAGTAGCCAGTAAGGAGGCCCCAAACCCAAGCCAGCTTTCGATAGCCACTAAGGTTCCCCTCAGCCTATCTGAGCCTTCCATGGCCAGTAAGGTGACCCTCAGACTAGGCCAGCCATCTAAGGTCTGTGGGGTAATCCACAGTCTAGCACAGCCATCTATGACCAGTGGGGTGACCCCCTAGCCTAACCCATGCAAATATGGGCAATAGTGAGCCCCCAGCCTAGGTCAGCCACCTGTGATGAGTGGTATGGGTCATGCACTTATTCACGCAATTTGGGCCCCAGGGGTTCAGATTTACTGTCATCAAGAGTGAATGTAGTGGCTCCTTGTCTGCATCATCCATCCTTTCTGACTGAAGTCACCCCAAATATACCACATCTACCTGAGGCTAGTGGCATGGGCCAGGGGCTAAACCAGCCACCTCTGGCCACTGGGGTGAATCTATGTCAAGATCATCTAATGGGTCATGGGGTGATCTCAAACTTCCAGGCCCTTGAGCTCAATGAGGTGTCCCCTGGGTTTCATCAGCCACTCGGTGTTGGTGGGAGGAACCCAAACACAACAGAACATTCTGCTGTCATTGTTTCAGCCCCAAACCTCTACCAGGCAGCTGTGACCAGTGGAGAGGACTCTTGTCTAGGCCAAGGAACCAGGCTATCTCAGGACATTCTATTCAGGGGCATGTCTCAGGGCACCATGGCTGCTGGCATGCTCCAAAATGTGTCTTGAGGGACCTTGGATACTGGCAAGTTCTTAAATATGTCTCAGGGACCTGTGTCTCCTGGTGTGACAGGAGTATGTGTTGGAGAAATGTGGCAACTGCTGTGAGCCCAAGGCAATCTCAGATTGGCAATGGCATGGCTCCCATGGCATCCTGGGCCTCTGTGGCAAGTACCCCTTTGGCTTATGAACAAGCCTCGGGGTGGGCCCTGGCTCCTCATGCTTTTGTGCCCAATGGACTGGATCTGAGTCCATCCAAATTTTCCCTGGCCAATGTGGGCCTCAGCATGTCTCAGGTCAATGTTGATCTCCCAATATCCATGGACCACCAGTGTCCTGTTGGTCCACAGTCACCACATCCAGTTACCAACAAGCAAATGCTTTCAGCCAGGAGCCTGTGATGGGCATGGACAGTCTTCTGGTGCCAGGTTTTATAGCCAATAGGATGATCACAGCCGTGGTCCCAGGCACTGTAAGTGGCATGGCCCCCAGCTTTCCCCCAGAGTCTGTGATCAGTGACATGGGCCTGGGCTTTCCTCCAGGGTATTTGATCAGTAATATGAGCCAGTGCTTTTCCTCAGGATCTGTGATCAGTGGCATGGGTCTGGGCCTCCCTCCAGGGTCTTTTTTTCTTCTAATATATTTTTATTGATTTTCAGAGGGAAAGGAAGGCGGGGGAGAGAAACATCGATTGGTTGCCTCTTGTACACACCCTGACCAGGAATTGAACATGCAACCCGAGTATGTACCCTGACCAGGAATTGTACCGGAGACCTTTCAGTGCACAGACAACACTCCAACCAACTGAGCCACGTGGGCCAGGGCCCTCCATGGTCTTTGATCAATGGCATGAGCCAGGGTCTTCCCCCAGGATCTGTAATCAGTGACATGAGCCAGGACCTACCTCCAGATCCAGTGGCCAGTGCTGTGGCCCACAGCCTTTCTCCAGGTTCTGTCATCAGTGGTGTGGCTCAGAGCTTTCCTACAGGTTTTGTGGCCAGTGGCATGGCCAAGACCCTACCTCCAGGTTCTGTGGAGAGTGGGATGCCCCCCACACTGATTACAGCACCTCGTGCAGGTGGGAAGAGGCAGTCTCTTTGTAAGACCCTTTGCTAGTCTAACTTCTCCAAGACTGTCCTAGAATCAGTAGTGAATGGGCTGGGCCTAAGTGTGTCTTCTGGTTTTGTGGCCTTTAGTGTGGTCCCAGCATTTATGACTGGGGGACTGAGTTAGGGCCTAGTTCTGGGGTCCATGGCTAGTGTAGCTAGTCCACCCTCCGCAGTCGGAAGCGTGTCCCACAGCCTTCCCTAGGGGTCCATGCTCATTGGACTCATCCCCCATCCTTACCATGGAGCCCAGGCTGACGAGGGGTCTGCAGCCCCCTTCCAGGCATCCCATGCCACTAGCCTGGCTCAAGGTCATCCCCAGGCCTTAGAATCTAGTGACAGAGCCAGAGGAGTGCACCAAGTGCCCGTGGTTCTGCAAAGAGCCTCACAATTGAGCCATACTCTTGGGACAATGGCTTTTGAAACCACAGATAGCCAGGCCATGATGAAACCAGAGAACCTGGACGAGGCTCTATGTCAGGGGTCCTGCTCCACTAGGGATTCCATGGTCCTTGAGGCAACCCCATGGATGTCTGAGAGTCCCTTGGCACCTGATGTCGACTATGGCCATGAATTCCTTGTGGAGGACAAGACTGTTCCCAAAGGCCAAAGGCTGTTGGAGGGGGTGGCTCCCAGACGAGTCAAGTCTAGTCTATGATGAGTGGCATGGCTCCTGTCTGTCCCCAGCCTCCAGATTTTGCCAAGTACACCAATGCCAGCATTGTCACCCCACTTCACAGCAGAGGTCAGCAATCAGAGGGCCCTTAGTTACTACTCTGTGACTTCTCATGGAGTCCCCAGTGTGCAAGTGAACACAGGGATCAGTGGCTCACATTGTGCCCCAGAGCCCATTTGGCCACTCACATTGTCCCTGAGAGCCTCTTGGCTGCTAATGTAGTCCCCTGGAGCATCTCAGCTACTCATTTCCTCAAGAGCCTGTTGGCTGCTCACATGCCCTGGAGCCATTCCCATGGGATGGTGGCTTCTACAGTAATATCAGGGTCACTCAAGCTGGCCTGTAGCAGTTCTGTGGCATCTACTTTGCACTGGGGTCTGTATCTTGGGACCCCAAGCACTTCCCAGTGGTAAGGGACCACCAATGTGGCTTCCCCTTCTGCTGGATCAGCCTAAGGCCATTGGGATGGCATCCAGTGGGCTCCAGGTGGAAGCTGTCTCCAGTGCATTTCTGAAATCAGTGTCTGTGAGCCTGGCTCAGAGCAGCCTCCACGACCTCCCTGGCCCTAGAAAGTCCTATAGGCCCATGCATGGTAGCTTCATCTCCAGAATGCTAGATGGTTCTGTGGCCAAGACTGAGCCTTCCTGGCAGATGGGGGAGCATGCTCCCAGGTCTGCACAGGAAGGTCCAAAGGCTCCATGGGTGCGCTGCCAGCCGTAACACCAAGTATCCGATGTACCATCGATCTGGCGCACAACATGGCCATCCCTAGGTTGCACCACGGGGTTCAGAGGGTATCTCTGGGTTATGAATCTTCACCAAGTGGTTCCCGGCAGTCCCTTTTTAACTGGGAGTTGCTACAAGGACCTCAGGATTTGCGTAGAACCATTGCTCCTGTGGACAGTCACAGAGCACCTCTGACTTCTGCTGTACTTTAGGGCCCTGTGGACGTCGGTGCGGCTGGTGGTCAAACGTGTAACTCCGCCATCCCCAGTGTTGCCGTTGGGCCCAGGAACAGAGCCAAGGCCCCCTGGAAACCAGCCAGGTGCGCTGTGCAGCGGGACGCTGTGCGCGGTGAGGCAGCGGTGGATCCCAGGCAGTTGGGGCAGCTGGTGGCGCGGGTGCAGGCTGTGGAGACAATAGTAGTGCAAGCGGTGGTCATTATACAGGCGTGTGCACGTGGCTACCTGGTGCGCCGTACCATCAAAGTGTGGCACCAGTGGGCCGTCATCATCCAGGCTGCCTGGCGTGGCTACTGTGCGCGGAGGACCCTGGCCCAGCTCGGCAGAGCTGCCACAATCATCCAGGCCGCATGGCGAGGCTACTGCATTCGACGGAGCCAAGCCCAGCAAATGCTGCTCCCCAGCACTTGGGCTGAGGTTGGGGGTAGGACCAGGTCCACCTCCGACCACCGCTGCTTCCAGTCCTGCCAGCCACAGGACTGTACCCTCTGCCGGTCGCTGAGTCCCAAGCTCGGGAGCCTACCCAGCGCAGTGATGCTCGTGGGTTCCAGTCCCCGCACATGCCACATGTGTGGCCACACCCTGCCCACACGGGTAGTGCAGGGCATGGGCCAGCACCCCATGGGCCAGGCAGGCATGCTGTGGGGCTATGACACCCAGCTGACCCCCAAGAGACCCAAGCAGCTTCGTTCCCAGAATAAGGCAGCCACGGTCATCCAGTCCATCTGGAGGGGCTTCATTGTACGTCGCCGGCTGAGACAGCAGCAGGTAGCAGCCAAGATGGTTCAAGCCACCTGGCGCGGCCACTATACTCGGGCCTCCCTCACAACGGATGCGCTTTTGGGACCAGAAGCGTGGGACAACCCACAGAACATGCAGTGGCCAGGAGTCTAAGACCTTGGCTGCCCAGTGGGGGGACACCAGGGGAGGTGCCTTGTGACTTTCTTGGTATAATGAATAAAGCCCTCCACAGCCTGGGTCTTGGTCTACTTCTGCTCACAGGGGAATTTTGGGCATGGGTGTGGGGGGGATGGGAAGAATCTGGAATCCTCTGGACTGGGAGGGGACCCTAAAACTTCCAACCACATAGTTGGCACCCAGGGTCTGTGTCTGGGATAGGGGCCCAAGCCCTTCCTGGAGGTCAGGGGCCTCCAGTATGGCCACCGAATTTGTCCAGGATGAGGGGGGCAGTGGCCAGTCAGTTGCAGATGGAAGGTGTCCCTAACATACTCCAGAAGCCAGCGTCTGGGGACCTGGCCCAGATGGTGACCACAAGTCCCTTGGCCCTAGAAAACCCTATGAGTGAGTGCATGGTGCGTTATTCAGGAAAGGCTAGGGGTTTCCAGCCAGGTTCTAATTTGGTAGGATGCTGGGCTCATCCACAAGGGTGAGAGAGAGCTGAACATAGATGTTCCCAGCCCGTGAGGTCAGGGACAGGGCAGGGAGGGGAGGAGGGAGCTGCAAGCAAATGGGGCAGTCTGGTTAGAGGAGTGGCAAAGGGGATGCAGCCATGGGTTTGGGGCAGCTATGGAAGGGGCCACAAAGTGGGTGGGGGCTGCTGGAGGGAGGGGAACTGAAAGGAACAGGGGTGTCCTGATGGGATGGGCAGAATTTGAGGGCTTCGGGGTCATGGTTCAGGTGGGATTTTTTAGGTGAGGCGGGGGTCCAGGTGGAGAGAGGGGCAGGTATGGCACGCCTGGGGAATGGCAGCACCCCCATAGACCCAGTGTCCTGAGGCCCCACCTCTGCCTCTCCTCTGGGCGGGTGTAAAAAGCAACCACATGGCCACACACTTGGCCACACAGCACTGAGCAGAGCCCATCCTTCGCCCTTCCCATGCAAGAATGGCAGGCTCCCTGCTGCTACCACCACTTCTGCTGCTGGTTTTGGTGCTGCTGCTGCGAATTGATGTGAATTTCTCTGCTTCTCCTGACACCCCTACAGGTAAGAACAGGTAAGGAAAAAGAGGGGCTTCTAGAAAGCTGGAGGGGGCCATACTGCCTAGACACACATCTGGCGTCTGGGCCTCTTCCTCAGGCCCCGCCCCCGAAAGGGCCGCTCCTCCCAGAAACAGGGGGCAGGAGTCATGAGAACAGCTGGCGCACTCCCACCCCTCCACCGCCCCCACTCTAGCTGAGGCTGCCACTTCTGCAACTCCAGCCTCACCTGAGCCAGTGAGAAGCTGTGACTGCCTCATATCCAGTTGGAGGGTCCATTTTAAACCTGTTCCTGTTAGCCAGCCCCAAGGGAAGGAGGACCCCAGGGCCATGGGAAGGGGGACAAGGGCTCATTTCTTGGTCACTACATATCTGTGGCTCCCAGGAGAAGTTCTTGGCACCTAATTTTCTTCTGCTGCCCTGTAAGACTATTCCCAGGGTGAAAATTTGAACTTCTTTTTACTAAAATTTATTTTAAATTATAATTGACATACAATGTATTAGTTTCAGTGTGCAATATAGTGATTCAATAGGAGTTGAACTTTGCACATTGCCTATCTTCCCGTAAAATCACACACTCTGACCTGTGTACTAGCCCCAAACCTGTAATATCAGAGCGGAGGCCACCAGGTATATGACACTTCTTTCAGGCAAGGGCTTCACTCAGAAAGCACCACATTTATCCCCATTTTATAGCTCAGGAAATTGAGGCTTACACTAGTCTCCTAGCCTGTGCCAGAGCTGGATTAGAACCAGTTGAGTTGGCCCATGCCAGCCTCCTGGTCTAGGAGTCTCTGGGCAAAGCAAACTCCTGGCACAGTACATAGAAATCGCTCTAAGCCCTGGCTGAGTAGCTCAGCTGGTTAGAGTGCAGTCCCGATACACCAAGGTTGTGGGTTCTGTCCCCAGCCAGGGCACATATGAGAATCAACCAATGAATGCATAAATGAGTGGAACAACAAATCTCTCTCTGCCCCCTTCCTCTCTCTCTCTAAAATCAATAAAAACAAAAACCTTCATAAAAAAAGGAGAAAGAAAAAAAAAAGAAACAGCTCCACTTTACCTCTGGCCAACTCTCCAGTAGCTCATGAGTGCCCACCTACTCTGTGTCCCCCACTACCTCCTCTTTCAAGTCCCACTAGTTTTCTTCATTTCACTTTAAAAGCTCAGCTCCCCAGAATTCTGGCTTGGCTTAGGGTCCACTGTGGCCCCTGAGTCATCCTCATGTCAGCAAACACTTATCATCTGGATTCTTCCTCAAATGATAGTGAAAGGCAATTTGGGAAGGCTGGCCTCTTAGTCCTTGACTCTGGAGATCCTTGCGGGGCCCTCTTCCCACCTCCCAGTCAGTTTCCCATCTGTAAAATGGGGATAAAGTCAGGCCAGGGCACTATGCCTCTTCTGGCTCAGCTGTCATCCCCACAGGCCCTGGGAGACTGGACAGAGAAAAGTGGCTCTGTGTGTGGACCCAGATCCCTCTTGATCTGGATGTTATTTCTCCATTTTTTGCCACCTAGGAGGGAAGCAAGAGAGGAAGCGCAAAGATCCACTCAGGGCAGAGTGAACAGTGTCAATGAATGAACTTGCAAGCAGCTAAGGTACCCAGCAGCCTGGACCTGGGAAGGAAGTAATTGTAGGATGCGGCCCATTAAATATTTACCCACCCTCAGCCTGGCCCCTGGGCTCTGTGCCTGGGAGGGTCAGGAGCCAGGGAGCAGCTGGAACAAGGCTGGGGGCAGGGTTTTCCAGAGCTTTGATCTGCTGACTATTCCCAGAGCCCAGGCCTCTGTTGTCCCAACCCCATTATAACTCTGAGTTTGGCCAGTTCCAGGTACCTGTGGAAGATGAGGGCTGATCTTTCCTGGGGAGCTCTGAGGTGGGTCTGTGCACCCACATGTGCAGACCTGTGTGAACCCTCAGAGGGGCTGACTGCCAGTGATGTCCATTTACAGACCAAAAAACCTTTGAGTCCCAGAAGGGTTAAAAGAGTCACCCAGAGGGCTGCCTGGGTTGCAGCCATTTCTTGTACCCAGAGAGCTTCTGGAGCCCCAGAGCAAGAGAGGGGGCTGGGAGAGTACGACCTGGGCTGGAACCGGGCTGTGGGACTTCAGATAAAGAGCTTTGAACAAGGGACCTCGTTTTCCCACTGAGCACTCACGTGGTGCATTAAAGCCTCCAGGTCCCCCAGGAAGCAGGTTTACGGAGGGAACAGGGAAAGAAGGCATCCAGTGAAGGCCGGAGCCTGGGTCACCCACTCTTGTTCCTAATCATCCTCTCCCTACACCCTCTGCTGTTTTCTTTCCAGGTGTTAGGAGGGAGACTGAGACCTCAACTTCCAAACCTTGGATTCCTTTTCCCTCCAGCCACAGCTCTCCTAGTTCAGTGGAAACCTCCACCAACCACTTCAGCCCCACACCCCATCCCGAGTTCAGAGGCAGGCTGCACCATCCACCCCAATACCCCTAGTTTGGGGGCAGACTCCACCCCCCCACACAGCCCCTTAAATTCAAAGGCAATCCCCACCATCCAGCCCAGCTCCAGCTCCAGCTCCACAAATTTAGGATTGGCGCCCACCGCCCCACAACCAGAGACAATCCCCCACCCCAACTCTGGCTCTCCAGTTCAGAGCTCACCCTCACCTCCCGCCTCAGCTGCCTGAGTGCCACCTCCTTGAGCCTGCACCGGAGCCTCACTTCCCCGGTCCCAGAACAGAGGCCTCCTCCATGCCCTTGGCCACAAGTGACTGTACTTCTTCGGCCTTGTGCTCCCAGACAGTCGGTGGGGGTGGGG